GTGGGGGGACCCCCGGCTCCGGCGGGGCCGGCGCCCGCAGCCCCCAGTGAGCTTCCCTGGGGGGGCAGGCGCCTCAGCTGCTTTTGGGGGGGCGGGGGTGGGTTGTTGTCCTCTAACAACAGCAGGGTGATGCGAAGAGGCTGACCCGGTGCTTTGTTGCAATTTCAGTTTCCTAATCATCCAAACCTTACTAACCTGGCGGATGCAGGTGAACCCCTGGGCTAGCAGGGGGCTGGCGTGTGTGCGTGTCTAGGAAGAAGTGCGGGACTTTATTTAAAGGTCTTTGTCCTCCTCACAGACTTTTCGACCGAGTACCTTTATGTTTCTTCTTCCCTGGCGTGTTAAAACTCTCTATAAAGACCTTTACAGTTGACTTCGGTTCCTTATGTGATGTTTGCCTTTACTCCTTCTGCTCTGGGACTTTGGATATGTATTTTAATTTTGTTCTGTGTCAGTGGTGTGAGACTATTGCAGATAGGTTTTGTTCATTGGGTTTGTTTTTTTCAGTTGCTCCATTTCTAGTTGAACTTGGTTGAAAAGAGAACATTGGGGTTATAGCACCTTGGTGCTACTAGGTATTTCTGTATCTCTGATGCATTTTTGTGTTTAAATTTAGCTTTTTTTCTTTCACTTGAATAATTTTCGTTTTTGATTATTGTTTTTGTAGATGACACCACTGGTAAGCAAGAAGATGGACCAATTCCTGGGTGAGTCCAGAGATTGTTTATTCATTATAACAATATATGCTGCAAAGAAGATGGAGCCATGTCAAGCACAGCTTCGTGAATGTTTTAGACCAGTGCTGTTGCCATAAACAGCAGCCTGTCCTTTTCTCATCCCATGGGGTCATCCCCGGCCGCCACGCTTGAGCTGGCATAGCACTTATGGATTTGGAAGGTGGACTGGATCAGTCAACTGATTTGACTTAAAACTAACTTCTCACCCTTTTTTTTCCTCTCCCCGATTAGCTTTAAATCAGATCTGTTTTCCAGTTTAATTCCCTGGGGAAAATGGTGCCTTGAGGACTGGCCTTTGTGCTGGCCTGGCATTGGTAAAACTGTGGCCTGTGCCTCAGCCTGGAAAAGCTAAAAACCTGGAGCCTAGGTTAAAATCTTGACATGATCAAATCGACAAATTATACGAGATCTATGAAGTGTGTGGTTTGGGTAAGACTTTCAGGTAAAAGCGTTGGAGACAACTCGGTGATCAGTTTTGCTTTCTGTGTATGGAAAGTGTTGTCTGTCCTTGATCATAACTCCCCGCTATTTGTAGCAGTGTGTTTTGCACCCGTGGAGTTTTCTCTCAGCAGAAGTATTATCTGTTTGCCATTTTTAAATGTAACATGGCTTTCAGAAGACTTGATCTTCACTGGACTCCTGTGTCCTCAGCACCTTCAAAAGTTCAGTTTAATATTTACTGTCCTTTAAGGTCATTGTGAATTCGGTATCTGGAATTTCTGAGATGGCTGTGGATACTGTCCTACTTCTGTAGTAAGTATCCTGTGCTTAGGGAATATGGAAGCTTGTTCAAAAACAAGTTTTAGGCAGACTTGGTAAATTGTTAGCTAAAAACATCAAATGAGCTTCGTGACAAGGAACAATTTTTAGTTTAGATAGAAATTTACGGCTAACGTGCATAAATCTATTGTTCCTTGTAGCTTTCATCTGAATGGAAGTTTACTTTACAAGCAGGATTAAAAATCTGAATTTCCAGCAACTGTCTCCAATAACTGCAAGATGCGTGAAGGAAAAGTATTAGTGGTCGTGCTAGCTCTCCTTTTTTCCCCCCCTCTTTTTGTTTTTTTTTTTTTTTTTTTTTTTTCTTTTCTTTGTTGCACAATGAGAATCTTCCTAAATGAAGAGCTGTGGGGTGTTTTAAGAAAAATGACTCTTTGTTTGCTATGTTGTCGACCGCTGCAGCTCCAGGGATACATTGCTGGCTTGTCTAGAGTATTTGTCTCTACCCATGAAGCAGAAATCAGCATAGTGCGGGATGCAGTACCCGTTAACATTCCTTAGCCTAAAGGATGCATTAAATACCAGCAGTCTGTGCAGGATGCTCTTATGTCAGCAATGCACAGGGTTATGTTGGCGTTCTGGGGTAATTAAAGAGCTGCGACATTTTTTTTTGCATGCAGATGATGGCTGTGGACCTGTCAGATTGTTCATTCCTGGGAAGCAAACAGGTTAGGGAAAGACTGTTACTTAGCAAATGTTTATTTGAACTCCGATTCATAAATTTTAATGCACACCCGCAGATACTTCATGTGACTTGAAGCTGAAGGTAATACTTGTCACTCTTCCTTAATTCGGTCATCTCGGATGCTTGAGAAAATTCTGGGGTTGAGGTCGATGTTGCAAGTTGCTTGGATTTGGCAAACAAAACGCAGAAGGTTTTGGAGCCATCTGTGAGATTTTCTCCAGCGGTACATCTTTTGGTCCTTTGGTAATAGCCTCCGTTTGCAACTTTGAAATACTTTGAGAGGCTGATTTTCCCTTAGACATCTTGGCTACTTTTCATAACTTAAAGTGTCTTCAGCTGTCACCTCAGGACGTTGGCGAAATTGGGACCTGTGCTTCCTCGGTCAGCTGCTGAATCTGCAACCCTTCTTTTTGATCTTGGCTTGAGGGTTGAATTTCTTTGTATATGGGGCTTTTCTAACATGAGAGCTTCAGTAACCGCTCAAATTGTTCATTTGTTCTTTTTTTATGTTCAGTAACTGCTTTCTGAGTTGCGTTAGTGCGATCTTTGGCTTACTTGTGTGGTGTCTCCTCTCCTGCCGCCTCTGAAATGGCTTTAATCTGGCCAGTGTTTGGATTCTGTTAGGTGTTACACGTGTTTCTTTTTGAAGATAATCTTGTGTATGTTTGTTATCCAACATGGCATTTTAAATTAATAGCCATGTCTCCACAAAGTACTGGTGGAGAATTGGGTTGCCTGGGCCTGGGCTATTCTGATTGTCTCTTTTGAAAAGCCAGACTTATTTTGAAGTTCTACTAGGTTTTACGTATGACATTAGAGAAAAATGATCTCTCTTTGTATTTTTGTTTTGTAACACTTAGAATACTCTTTTCTAGCATGCGTATACCAATTTGACTTTCTTGCTTGGCTAATGCAATAAACAATGTTAATATTTGTACAAACTCTGTAACTGGAGCTAAATCTGAACCTGACCGTTGTTGCATTAGCGCTAATTTGTAATGAATGAGAAGATTGGGTGGGTAATTATCTGTCTTTTCTTCTTTGAATTTTAACTACTTATTAATGTAAGCCATTTGTAGAAACACTAAAATCGCTTTTTCCTTAATTTCTCTGGGACAGATGCCCTTGCTACTTACTAAATATATGTATAATTAGCATCCTTAAGGACAAGGTGAAGTTTTGCTTATTATGGTCTTATTCCTACCAGTTGTGATTGTGCTGAACCAAAGCTGAAAGCCATTATAGCTGCCGCTTCTATCTTAGCTGTTGAGTGGTGCTTGGCTAGGCAGCCATGCTGTCCGTCAGGCGCTCTTCGGAAGCGCTGAACTGATTCTTTCCAACAACAGCAAAGCCAAGCAAGGACGTTTCATTTTTTGTCGTATAGTTGAGCTAACTGCCAGCAGAATAAACACACTACATGAATAAAGCCATTATACGAAAGTCACCTGGACGAATGCTTTAGCAATGTTTATAGGTGAACCTCTAGATTGGGCTTGTCCACTTTCTTTTATCTGTCACATTTACTAGACATGCAGAATCTTCTCATCCTTTGCAAGATGCTCCTCAGGAGAACCGGCCTGTCAGCAACGAAGACCGAGAGATGTCGCAACATGTATGTGTTCCACTGCAAACGGTAGACATAGCTATTTTGTGTTTCTCGATACTCATGGATAAAAAGATGGAAGCGTAAAGATGCTGGTACTGCCTGATATGTTACATTTGTGCTGTAGGAGTGTACTGGTGGTCAATGCCCAATGCTGACTACAGCAACAGGCTTCTCTTCTCAGTCTGCCTTGTGCAGTGGGTAGGGAACCCTGATCTGAGTAGTGCTTGTGCCCACCAAAGAGGCAGATGAGGGCCTCTGATGCCGCAGTCTGGCAGAAAAAGCAGAACACGATGCTACCTCTGGCTCAATATTTCGTATGACTTCTCGAGGGTCAGTAAAATACGGGAAGCGCAGGGATAGAAAGCCCAAAGGGCTGGGAATCAGTTTTGATTCAGGCTCAGACCTCTTAGCATGCAATCTAGTGGCTCAGTGCTGAAGGAGTGGGAGGAGGCTTGCTTCTCCACCCCATCTCCCTCTAGTCTTTTTGATGGGTTTATTTTCTGCCGCTGTGGTATGTCAAGAGGGCTCACACAGAGTTCTGACAAACCCGTGTGTCATGGGAAAGGAGGGAGGGTTAGGAACACCTTCCTCATACCCTTTTGTAGTGGTGAGCTGTTAATTCAGCTCTTGCATCTTGCAAAACTGCGCTACTGGATATCTGGAAGACTTCCTTTGCCTTTGTGCCCCAGCAGTGGTGCTGCACGGGAGTCGAATCAGCAGCTGTGAAGTTCTTACGGAAAGCTAAGTGACTTGGGGACTGGTTGTGCTAAATAAGGCAAGCCGAGCTCCTCAGCAGCTTCCTACCACAAAAGTTGCAGTGAGAGAATATTTGCTCCAAGGTTCTCGGGTGAAGCCTGGTGAATGTATTTTGGTGATTTTTATTTGTGATTGCATACTTTCGCCACGGACCTGTGAAGAAGATGTGTCCGAAAAGCCCTAGCTCTTTCAGAAAGAGCTGTGGGACATGATGAAATTCTTAGAACCAAGCTAAATCTTCCCCACCTTCAGAAACCTTACCCCGATTCTCATGTAGGGTCACTTCTTCAAAGGACATAGCAGTTTCTTTGTGGGCACCTGTCCATTTATGTTGAAGGCTGGTTACCTCCACAGTTTTTGCCTCCAGACACAACTTTGTATTGCCTTGGGGTGCAGTAGAAAGTTATGTCTTTATAGCAGAATCATTCCTTCTAATAGTCCTTTATTGTACAAGCTTTGTAAGATTTGGCTTGCTGTCCCAGGGAAGTTATCAGTTTTACGTATTAATGAGCTCCTGTGTGCTTTTATTGTTGCTAGGCCCTCCCAAGTGGTGAAGATGATGAAGACGACAGCGATAGCGACAGTGATGATGATGATGTGAAAGTTACTATTGGCAACATTAAAACGGGAGCACCGTCGTACATGTATGTATTGCTGAGTATGGTGTCCGTTTTTGATCTGAGGCAGCTCTAGCGCATTGATTGGGATTGAAAGTGGGGATGAGAGCTGATCTGTCTGCTGGGAGACATGGGAGTGACGGCTAGAACACCAGAATGGGATTAGAGGCTGATGGGCAGCTCTGTCCTGCAATTGCTTGTTGGAGAATCCATCTATAAAATAGGATGGGTCTGCTGTTGGAGAGTTAACCAAATAATTACTACGCTTCATCAGGCAAAATCAAAGGTGGGAAGTTAAATGTAACTCATCGTCTGTGAAAACTTCAAGAACCAAAATCTGTATTGATAAATATTTGCATAAGCTGTGAATTTACTAATTTTCAGCTGTCTTGATTTTTCATGATTCAGAAATGGTGAGGCTGGATTTGTGAACCAGGAGATTATGTCACTGCCTTAAAATTCTACCTAATTTGCATTGAATAAAAATAGTAAGACAGCATTTTTGCTTGCTGCTAGCAGCCTTCCTCTTAAGGAAATGACTTGTGTGTGCTTTGCAGCGTATTGTAACTTTTCCACTTTATGGACGACTTCCTTCTCTTGTGGTGGAGGTGGTTGCAGTCTGATGGATTACTCTGAATAGCAGTGCTCCATCCGCTAGCAGCTCACTAGGTTTCGCAGATATCCTTTTCGAAATCTGCTTCTTCTACCTTTCTCTCCTCATTCTGTGATCTACTTGCAGCTATGATTTCCATGTTGTTCAGTTCCATTTAAATACTAAGTACGTTCCTGGGCAGAATGGTAACTACGGCTCTTTGAAATAACCCTGCCCTTCATGCTCAAGACAATCCTCTTGTGTGCTGTTGTCGGTCAGTAAGTATGTGTGCTGCGTTTCTGCAGGGTTAGAGAAACTTCGGTGGCAAACGAATCTCACTTTTAAGGTGTTGAGACGTAGTACTAAAAATCATAGAGAGGCATGAATAAACCCAAGTGAACTAAGCGTCTTCTGAAGGATGTCAGGGCTTGAATATATTTTGCATGGAAATCTTCAACCAAGTAATTTGTTCGAATACCAACGTAGTGATTCTTTTCCATATAGGGGAACTCCTATGAATCTAAACTTAAAAACGGGTAGAGGCTATGGAGCATCTGCTTCAGGTATTGCTGTTATTTTTCTCCTTCACCTTTTGCAATGTTTCACTTGCCTGGCACTGACAGCTGGAGCAGCTGCAAATCTTGGTCTCTGTTTGGAAGGATATAAAATTAGCACATCTTATTTAAACTAGGAATAGTAAGTGGGCTTCCTAAAGATAAGCGCTCCTCAGGGAGTCTGAGGGTCCAGGGTGCAATGGAATGATTTAATTACCCATCACTGAACAAGCTGATTATAAATCTATTTAAACTAGGGAAAAAAATACATTGATTGTTACTTTTATAGTAAAAAACCAGAATATTTCTAAACTGTATTGTTGCACTGGGGCCACACATTCTGAATTGCCTGGAGAAGAACTTGAACTCTGTGGTCAGTATACTGAGCTACTTGCAGCGTAAGACACTAAAAGAAACAAACTCTGGCCTTGAGTATCCGCTATGCATATTTCTGCAGATGAAATTTTCCCCGCCATCCAGTTTAGTTTATTTCATGGTGTATATTGAGGCTTGGATTCTGTCCTTCCTCATGTGTGAGACTGTCCTTTCATGGGCTTCATGTACTTCCTTCCCTTAATTTCTTTATGCAAATGACTTATCTTCTGATTGAGAAAATAAGAACAAATTCCCCTTGAAGATTCTGTACCCGACAGATTTTTGCTGCCTCCAGTTAGTACACAGTCCACTTAAGACCAATCCTGAAAAAGTCTCTTGTTATGAGAGAATGTGTGTATCTTGGGAGGGAAAAAGAAATATTTTGCCTGGGGAGAAAAATAATTTTTCATTTGGGGTAAATTTCATGCATGCTCTAATAATGTACTCAGTTTGTCTGTAGCACCAATCTGGGTTGAATTTGCTTCTCTGCTGTTCAACTGCAAGTGCTGTATAGCCTGGCTGTTTATTTATAGAGTGGCCGAAGTAATTTTTATTAAAAAGTTGATTGTGATTACCTACGTGCTGTAAAGCCAGCAAGGAATTCACAGCAGCACTTTATTTTTGACGGGAGCAATTTGCTCAGCAAATTAGCAGATGAAAGGCATTGCATTAAAAGTAGTAACGGTTTCTTTCTCTCCAAAGCCAAGTTGCAGCCCAAAGGTATTGACTTGGATGCCGCAGGGAATATAAATGGATTGCCTGTTATAGAAGTGGATTTAGATTCATTTGAAGACAAACCGTGGAGGAAACCAGGTGGGGCCTCACAGTTTCTTGTGGTAAATATTTTCTGCAGTTTTAGTTGTCTCTCTTTAATTTCACGTGTAATTTCTCTCCATTTATTGCTGCCAGGGAACAGGGAAGTCAGAACAATGCGTATTGCTCAGCCTCTGATGCCTGTCTAGACAGTCAGTGACATTTACTGATTGATCAAGCCATGCTTCTACCTAAAATTGGGTTGTGTTTACTCTATTAATTTAACTTCCCTAAAGGGAACAACTATTTTTTTTTTAATGTTCTATTTCATTAATTCCCTAGTTCCAGAAAATATTACACTGATATCAGTACGGTAATGTTTGTTGGCCTTGAAGTCAGTTGAGCAGGATCACGATTTGGCTGTTGATGATGCGTGGTCCCCTCTTCACACGCAGCAGCTTGCTTATTCTGTCTCACCGTGGCCAAGCTCAGAGTCATCCCCAGGCGCCCTTCTCGTCTGGGCCCTGGGGACGTCCGCACTTCTGCGGGAAAGTACCCCTCGCAGAGGGCAGCGATGGTGGGAATTACCACATGAGCACATCTCATGATAGGAAAGCCGTCTTGTTGTGTTGAATTCTCCTGCTGCAAACAATTGAATAAAAGGGAGGAAAACACTGCTCTGACGAGAAAAGCTAGGATTTTTCTTTTAGAAAAGCTGCATTGCCTAATTCTTTGCTAGATTCTGCCCCTAGGTGCATAACTGCGAGTGAGCAGTCCCCACTTATTTCTTCTGGGCAATATTATCTAAACTGTGTCCAGACAAATAGTACTTTGCACAGCAGGTTTTAATATGTAGATGGGCTCTTTTGTCTTCCTGATTAGTATTAGGGAGATTTCTACTCGGAAGCGACTCTTGCATGACAGCTGTAGGATGCTGCAAATATATTTCTGTTTTTCATCTGAATTTGATATAAAAGTAAATGAAGGAACCAGAGATCCGCATTTTTGCTGTGCTACTCTAATAAAACATACTATGACGAAATGTTAACTGAAGCAAAAAACCCACTTGCATCTTCTCAGAAATAATTCTTCTCCCTGCCAGCCCCTGTACTTTATTTATCTTTCAGAAATATTGCTATGCTAAGTAAGTAGTGCTTTTACAAGGTTGTCTGTGGTGTGGTTTTGGTATCTCTTACCCACCTGAAATGAAGGGCACCAGAGTACCTGACAGTGCTAATAACTACATCAACGTGTCATGGCATCAGACCAGCTCTAAAGCACTCTGTGATGAATAGCAGCTAGTACAGACATAATAGAAAACGTAGCCTTTCCTCTGCAGGGGATTTCCCATCAACTGTGAAGTGAGAAAGAGGGGGCTAGGAAGAAAATAAGTTAGAAGGAAAACAATGAAGTGAAGTTCAGAGATAAAGCATGGAAATCCCTGTGGTCGTGCTGACATCCCTGGACCGAAATGAAGCCAGCTAGCCTTAAAACAGTGCTGAAGTACGAATAGAGGGAAGATGTCTGCAGAGGTGTGGGCTGTAAGCTTATTTTAGATGGCAAGTAGCTTCTTACTCAACAGCCTTTCGGGGTTTTTATCCTTTACGGTTAATTGTTTATAGTGTGGAAGAACTGATAAAGGGCTGAAATACAGGCTGATAAAATAGATATGCAAGTGTCACGTTGCTGAGTCTGTGTTGGTGAAATTTGCATATTTGGGTGGTACAACGGCTCAGCATGGTCACAGTGTTTTGCTTAGCCCTTACGTATCAGCTCCTCGGTTTAGAATTGCTCTGTCGAGGGACCCCTTTGCGAGGGGGATGTTTCAGGGACACCTCAGCAGGGCTAGGAGATGCTTTGCAATGCTTCCCGTTGTGAGGCGTGCCGTACAGAGTTAGCTGCAGCTATGTTTGTCCCTTTGCATCTACGTTTTCTTGGCAAACAGTTTGTGGTCACCTCTCTTACTCAGAAGTGCTGATGCTGAATTGGCACGTTTCACAGAAGACTGTCAAAGTAAGATAACAATCGTGGAAGGCTATGGTTAGGATCATGACTGAACTGTAATTACTTGTGTAGTCTGAGACATATCGATAAGAAACTTCCACTTTAGCTCTGTTTCACGATATGGGCGAGTCCCAGAATCTCTTCTCGAAGCAGCAAAGGCAGTGATGGTCAGGAGCAGAATGCGTTGGGTTCGCTCTGCCACGAAAACGGTTCTGTGGCACCATCCCATTTTGGTGGTGGTAGCTGGAACCGTCATTCCTGTGCTCTCTTCGGCACTCAGCTCATTTGGACAATTGTAACAAACCAGTCTGAAAAAATCCAGTTGGTGAATGAGTGGTTGCAAGCATCTCTTTTAATAGCCTGCATACGTGCTGTAGTCTGTGTCCCAAATGGTCCCACTGCTCTTCAGGCTGTCGTCGCCCTCCCATCTCTGCTGTGGCACAGAGCAGCCCTCTGACAGAATGAAACGGAGAGCAAGCTGAGCTCTCTAGAAGATTTTTGTTTTCTTAACTCTTCATTTAAGCAGTTAAAGGACAATTTGAGAACGCAGGTCTGCTAGAATCCCTATGTTAACTTCTGCTCCCTTTGTCAGGTGCTGATCTTTCTGATTACTTTAATTATGGATTCAATGAAGAAACGTGGAAAGCTTACTGTGAAAAGCAGCGACGGCTTCAGCTGGGACTGGATCCTGCTCCTCCCATCAGCACTGAGAATAAGATCACGGTAGGTGACATGTTACTCCTGCATATGGCTACAAGAAAACTGGGACTTGTTTTTGTAATCACAGAGAGGAGAGTACAAGAGCAGAAGATGCCTTAATGCGTAACTGTTCTGTGTTCCTTTCAGTGATGAGAAATACAAAAATGTATCTTTAAAGATTAAATCTCTCTGCTAAAAATCTTTCCTCTATGGAATGAACGGTTCAGCTGCCTGGCAGGTTTGAACCACTACATTAGCAAGACTTGAGTGACTTTCCAGTTGACTTTGAGGCTGCCCAGCTTTAGGGGTGTCTGCTTGGAAGATCCTGTGGATGTGAGAGGTGTAGAGAGGGGAGCTGGGCATCCATGGCTGTTTTGCTTGTTGCTGTTGACTGTCGTGGTTGTGTGGCTGCCTTTTGTCTTTGGAGACTGCTTTGGCCACCAACCTTTGCAGAAGTCCATCAGGTGGCCAACAGCTGTTCATCAGAACTTCAGCCAAAGAGTCAATACAGCAGGTATCACCATTTCCAGCTTTGGAGGACTACATGAAAAATGATGTGAGATTATTAAACATTTGGACTTCTAATGGGAGACAGTGGACGGCAGGCTGAGGCTGGAACAGGCAACCAGTTTATAGAAATGTCTGCTGCCTTGACTGAAGAATAGGTTGCTTGTTTGCAAGCGCCCTGTGATTGTTCCTCAAGGGAGCCCTTTTCCTTTGCCGAGGGTTAATCTCTGATGCTACGTTCAGTTGAAAGTAAGGGCGTTAAACCTGTGTGTTATATATTGCTCTCCGTAGGTTCAGCAAGGAAGAACCGGAAATGCTGAAAAAGAAGTGGAAAACAACATCATCAAAACAGAATTCAAAACAGACTTCTTGGCTCTGGTGGGAGGACGCATGAAGGCTGGGCCTCCTCCTAACAGGTAAGAGATGATGCAGACACAAAGCCTGGGTGCGCTGTGTTCTTCATAGGGGTAGCTGGGATCCCCCTGGGCCATATCTGAATCTTCTCAAGCCTGAAACAAGAAGCTTTTAAACTTTACAGGAAGCTGCTGTGGTCACTCATGAACTGTTGTCTTCAGCAGTACTCTCCTGAGGGTTGTGCAACCCCGACCCCCCCATTTACCTCTTCTTGGTGATGTCCTCAGTAGAGTGCTGTACAGGGAGGGAAACCTCCATCCCAGCTGAAGGGATGCATCTCTGGGAGTAGAAAAAACAAGGCAAATACCTCAGCTTTGAGGGCTTACGTTGCTGGCTCCTTGTGCTTACTGGGCTTGTTCTTACTCCCACGATGTTAATCTTTGCCTCCTGAAGTGGTTTACGTGTTTGGCAGCTGATAAGAGGAGCTATTGGTTTCTGAACCTGTATGCTACGCTGCTTGGTGCATGCTAATTAGTTATTTTCTCCAGTGAGAGAGAGGAACCAGAAGGCTGGACAAAGCAAAACAATTGAGTCATTTTGATTGGCAGCCTCTGCTGGGAAAACCACTTTGACCTTATGAGGTTGATGGGTTTTTTTATCAAAAGCTTCAGAAAAACAAAGCTATGAGGAAGAGCCAGAGCTTTGGGATCTGGGTGTTTCTGTTGTTTTATTCACATCACATCTTTTGCACACCTGTCTTGCAGAAATCAGTCCTGCATTCCAGCTTTCCACTTTGTCTGAGAGAGAACCAACTATACGCTTCAAGTATGAGCTTTAAAGCTCTGCTTTGTTTGCATTTAAGCACTTGGCTGGCATTTCTGTCCCCCTTCTAGTGCCATCAGATCAGTCAAGTTTGTTTCCAGCTGTTAGGCACATCTCCTGAGACGCTGGAAGATCTACACCATTGCAAAATAAACTGATGCTATTGTAACTATACAGCATTTTTGTCCATTTTAACTTGCAGTCTGGTTTTGAAAGTACTGATACACAAGATTCTGTTCCTGCAGCAGAGCTTTTGGTCAGGACCAGACTGAGTATCTTCGTACACCACAGCAGCATCAAAACCGTGGGCTTAGCAATGAGTTGGGTTTGGTTTTTTTTTTTTTACTTAAAGCGAGCAGATTTCAGTGAGAAAACTTTATCTCACCCACTAGCCAGCATTTTGTCTAAATTTCCTACTGAGATAGAAAATTCTGCTGTCTAACTTGGAAAAGTGCTGATGTTTTCCTGTCCAGGAAAACACGTCTAAGGCCATACTTCCACAAATCAATTGTTGCATGAATTTAGGATGAGGGATTCTGAAACTTCAGTTGTGGGGGCTTCTCTCTCTCACAAACCTTTACCCGTGGTGACCTTACAACGGGCTCCTCTAGAAATGTTCTCCTCCTAAGCACGACCTGGGTATGGAGATAGAAGAACGTGGACAGTTGTAGGTTCTGTGACTGATTTCCACCAGTGCACGGACAGCGCTGTTTCTTGGCTACGTAAATATATTTTTGTTCGAGGATCTAGCCTTGGTTTCACTGAAGGCAGTGGCAAAACTTTTGACTTCAATAGAAACAGAGCAGACCCCAGGGAGGTGGACTAGAAAGTGTCTGAGAATCTGATTTGTAAATAATTTCAGTGGTGTCAGCAACACTTGGAAGGTTGGACAGAAAGCAGGAAAAATCTGGGCTGATAATGTTAAAGGCTTCTCCTGATAAACATTCTCCACTTTCTCTGAGCCTGATCTGGGAGTGATTATTCAAATCTGGAGAGCGAGTAAAGGATTTCAGCTCTGAACCAGAGCATGCAGTCCGTGTTATTACACCCGTATGCGGTGATTCTTTGGATCATGTTTCTGGGTGTTCAGAGAGACCTAACTCACCCCCGCATGCAGAGCTCAAGTTGCTCAAAAGTGAAAAAAGAATTCTCGTTCACCTCTTGTCCAGTTGGAGTGCTGCCTCTAGCCACTTTTCCCGGGTAGAAAAGAACGTACGGGAGAAATCTGTCTAATAGTGGGGAAAAGCGCTCCTTCTAATGCCTTTGAACCTAAAAAGATGCATCTGCTTTGTACCAGGAAGCTGGGTGGGACAATTGATGTGATCGGTGGCCAGGCAGGCACAATTAGGAGAGTAGAAGGAAGACGTCGGGATAAGCACGCCTCTGAGGAAAACCCAATTCAGGTAAATGTTTTGCGCCATCTTGACAAATTTCTGAATTTATTGCGCTTCTAGCGAGCCCTGAGCAAATGTCTGTGCATTCCTGACCGCCTGTGTCACCGTTTCTGTCTGCAAAGCAGCAGGTAGTATATCAGCCCTGTCGAGGTGTATGCACGTATCGTTCCCTTCTGCAGGTTGAATTAACTCCTGTGTTAAAAGATTTATCTTGCTAGGAGCTAGGGATCGTCCTTTAAAGACTCGCCTTCCCACCCGTATGGTAAGGCCCAAGTTCCTTCTCTCATCAGCTCTCCCAAAGTGTTCCTCGGGGTGCGTAGCTGGGAGGCTCGTACGTGGATTATCCCCTTCCCCTCCGCTGTCAGGTTGGAATCTCCACTTCTGCGGTGGAGGACTTCTACTTGCGCTTGTGTTTCTTTTTACTTTGAAGTCACATTTAGTCTAAGCATCATTAGATGACTTAGGGTGGGCCTGTGTTACTGGATCTTGTCCCTTATGAGAAATAAAAGCCTGGGGTAAAACTGGACTCAGTTCTGCTCTTGCACCTCCCGTGTATGACCATAATGTTCTGGTTGGCTTCTGGGTAGGAAGGAGCTGTGTGTAGGGTTTGAGGACCATCTGTGGAGAACTCTTCTCTTAACCACCTTCCTCCTGCCAACCCCTCCTAACTCCGTAAAAAAAAAACAACAAACAAATACAGAACCTTCCCCTGTCCAGACGCAATTCCCGGTTTTGTTTTTACATGTGTTTTTGTGTCTGTTTAATTTTTTTAGTGGTCAGTTTTCCAAATTTTGCCAACAATGGCCCAAAAAAGAGTTTGTTTAAGAGAAAGAATTTGCTGGGAAGTGGTGGTTGTTCCTCCCACTTACAAGCGCTGATACCTGTATTTCCAGGTCATTCTGGTATCTCTGCGTATTGATCGTTCCTTCAGCAGTAGTGGGTATGTGACCTGCTTTTGTCAGGCAGATGGGAATCCAGTCTTCCTGTGACCTATGTGAGCACGATCTAGAGCAGAATTTGGCCTCTCGCTGCCCTCAGGAAAGACAAATTGGGTTAAAAAAAAAAAAAAAGACTACTCTGTCATCCTCAAATATGGCAGCTTTTAATCTGAAACCTGTGTCAGTGGCAGTTCCTGTGAACAAAAGGTGTTCGTAACGCTGAAATGTCAGCTGTCTTGCACGGTTGTGTATGCAGCTGGAATCTAGTCTCGCTGCTGTTCTGCGTAAGAGAAGATCCCTTGCTAAGCATATTGATTGCTTTGACCAAGCGTCCTTCCTCCCCAAAAGATGTCATCCCCTGGGTACAGCATAGCCTGGTCTCTCCAGGTATCGCAGTGCTGCCTGTTTTGGTGATACGCTGCCTTTATGCCAGCACAGCGAGGTCCTCGCTGCAGGAGCAAAGAGATTAAAATGCTCTCTTCTCGTTCCTCTGCCTTCTAAGGTCCTTGGAGACCACGGAAGTAAGCCACAACCCCCACAGCAGCCCCAGCAGCCATCACAGCCCCAACAGCCACCTCAGCAACAGCCGTTTGCACCACCAGCAGGCCCACCGCCTCCCCCGCTCGCTGGGCCACCTCCACCACACTTCCTCCACCCTCCTCCACCAGTTACTTCTGTTCCACCTCCCCTGCATCCTCCAGGTATGTGTTCACACGGCAACATACGGCACTCTGAGGCTGCAAGTTAGGACGTCCCAGGCTTGGAGCAAATCAAAGGTGTAATCGTTGAATGCTATGGGACAGTCGGGCAGTCAGGTCACAGGTCCTCAGACCTGGCCAGTCTTTGTGCAGCGTCTCCATCAGCCTATTTAACATTTGTCCTTGAATACTTAAAAAATGGAAGCCGTTCTTTGAAGAAAAAAAACCAAAACAAAACAAAAACCAAAACTCTAGGCTTTGTTTCCGTGAGAGAGCCTTTGGGTGGTACCGATCTGTTTGCTTTATTGATAAATGTAAAGAAATGGGTTCCTGTTTATCTGTGGAGGAAGCTGAGAACACAGGAATTGCTGTCCTGTGTCAGATCAGCGGGCCGTTTAGTTCAGGATCCTGTCTGGCTACGACTGATTCCAAATGTTTCAAGAGTGGTGCTGGAATTGGCAATTCTGCAACAGCAGCTCAAACAACTTTCCTCCTAATCCAGGTCAGTTCTTGGTCGGTTTATGCCTTGAAATACCAAGATTTGTGTCGTTCTGTGTTTGTTTCTGTGCCAACTGCCACTGCAGGATGGTTCTTACTGCTCCTAGAAGAGCCTAGTGTCCAGTGCAGGCATTAGAGCAGTGCTTTATTTTGAAAGCAAAATATAAAGAATATAAATGAGGTCTTTACCATGGGTTTCCAGCCCGTTGGGTGTGGTCAGGCCTCAGCACTGGCAAGTGTGTGTGCTCTTACCGATGACCAGATGGGTTTGTATTGTGCTAAGAGCACTTGGCACTTGAGAAGACACTGTGGAGATAAGTCCTGTGCCTGCAGGAATAAACCTTTTGAGATAGCGGAGGTAAAATTTCTAATTTTTTTCTCCTTCGTTGCCTTGAGCACCATGTTACAGAACAGTTTCACTGTCTCTTCTGTGCACGTAAGAACTCGCTTTCCACAAAATTTCTTAATGCATCAGCAACGTGGAGGCCAGTGGTCCTGTTTCTGGGCAAAACCAGGGCAATACTGGCAGAGAGAACAAAGAACTTTGCAATTGAAAAGGCCAAGTGAGTGCTCCTGCAGGTGTTCAGGGTCGTTTTTCTGCTGACCCTTTTCAGTGCACCTTTACAGACGTACGGGCCGCAGCCTAAGACACATTTTTCTGTCTTCACTTCCTACGACGTCTGCGCATCTTCTGATCCAGCCCAAGTCGTGTCTGTGCCCCTGTCGCTTCTGGCTTAAATGGTGCATCGAGGCTGAAGCGAAGGCCACGCTCTGGGCTTTCCCTGGTCCTACAGGCAGCAGCCAGACTTCGGAGAAGTCACCAGGAGCACGTCGTGCAGCAACTCCTCTATTTTGCACTGGCTGCACATGCAGAAGATACAGAATAAAAAATACGGTCAAGGCTTTTAATCTGAGGAGGGTTATTACTGCAGTACTCACGGGTGGACCATGGTAGCTTTCCCCTCTGCCTTTATTGAAATGATTGGCAAAATCAAGATCGTTCTTTTGGTTGTTGACCAGGGTGTCTGATCTCACGATGCGGTTCTGATCGACCTGTTTTTTAAAAGAACCCAACCAACTAGAAACAAGCAAAAGGACACGCTGGCATCTGCAGCAGGTTCCCCTCTCCAGCTCCTTCACTTGTTCTGAAGGCCAAATCAATTGTTTGTGTGTTGACGCTTGGAAAAAGGAATTCTCCAGTGTAAGAGAGCTGCAACATTTAAAATTATAATATAAAGATAAAGAGATCATCGTTTGGGAAAATGATATTGTTTGTAGGCTAGTTACTGCTTAATAGCACCAGTTTTTCTGCTGGTCTGTGTGCTCAAATATGTGAAATTTATTCAAAAGTGTGCTCTTAGGTTTAGCTTGAGGTACAGAGATGACGTGCTGTGCCTGTTGTCCTCACTCGTTTTGCTTGCCTGTTTATTCCCATAGGTCTGCCACCACCCGGTCCTATTCCAGGTAGGTGTTAATTTGCTCTTAATAACAACGGTGATTCTGAACGTGCAGGTGGCCCTCTCTTAGCTTTTGGGTTCAGTAACACGAGATAGGGTGACACCAAGACCCATTCTAGAGCCCAGTTAATTTAAGGCTAATAAACTCCAATGCAGCATTGAACTCTAGCTGCTTATCTTATATTCTGGACCTAAATAATAATCTATAGGGCTTCCTAATGCTATCTTGTTCTGTCTCTGAAGACTGACTTAAAACGTGAAATGGAGAACTTCAGATGGCAAAAGCCACTTAGATTTGAAATGGTTTAGTTCTTGTTACGGCATTTGCACAGCAGAAGTCTGAGTGACAAATTGGTGCTTGTGCAGGAATTTGGAGTGCGAGACTGAGCCAAACCAATGCCATTTCCAGCAGAAGCCTTTGCTCCCTGGTGTGCAGTAGAGATGGTGAATACTAATAAAGAAACAACCGATCTTGTGCATAAGTTAAGAACCCCACTAATTCAGAGCTACTATAAAACTGAGTTTCCTCTAGCTGTAATTTTTTTTTCCTACCGGACATTTTGCCTAGTCCAGGGAAAACAAGTGTAGCTGTTTGTACAGCAGGCCATTTGGAGCGAGAGCTCTGACCAGATGCTGTACCTCTGAGAATCCAAGGCTGATGGTGGCCGCGTATACGCAGTCGGGCCACTGCCTCTGCCTTGCCCTGTGTACCTGATTCGCGGACCTGCAAACGTCCGCACCCAAAGCACTTGGGACTTGATGTGCTTGTCCTCACTGTACGTTAGAGACGTTGGACTTGATTCACAGCTTTTGTGTCCGTGCTTTTGTATTCATGCTCTGCCCTGGGCTTCCTGAGTGGAAATGTGGAAAACCTACGTAGCTGGGCTGTCCCTCAGGCTGAGAAATGTCCTGTGTTTGTTAAAATGTCACTTCTCATGCTCCTCTCAGTGTACAGTAGTATTGCAGAGCTGGTTTTCGTTGTTGTACTAGAAGGAACCTGCTCGCAGTAAGCTTGGATTTAGAACAACTATAGTGTAGTGAAACTGGATGCAAACTGGCCTTGATTGGAGAGGTTGCAGCGCCCAGTTGCTAGGCAAGTGCATTTAGATTGAAGGCGTTTGGGAGGAGCGAGGTGGATGAAATGACCAGGCTGTTGCAAAGAACTTCCACCTCAGGTAACCGGGTTGGAAAGGGAGATGAGGGAGAATACCTGCTAATTATGGTAAGGACGATGCTCCGCCACCACTAGAGTTAGGTGCTTCTAACAGTAGTCCTTTGAAGTACTTGCGCAAGTGTGATTGAAACGCTCTGGGCGTTGCGTTTTATTGGAAGATCTTAAGAAAAGAAAGGGGGAAAAAAAAAAGGCATCTAAGAGTGAGACGTGTCCCCCAACTTGTTTGCAGCACAGATCTCCGCTAGCTGAGCCGGAGACTTCAGGCTGCCCCTCGTTGCAGTGAGATGCTTCTAGGGAGGGCTGCTCCTGCCCCATTCTAGGTGTTCGCAGTGCGAGGTGATGAGTTCTCCCGCGGTGTCATTGACTACGCTGGCTCAATCTCCGCTGACTTGAAAAGGAACCGGGAGCTGCTGGCTTCGATGTAAATGACTGCCGTTGGTCAGATGACTCCTGTCCTTTGCATCAGGACAGTTTGCTCCTTTTTTTGGTTTAGTGATAAACGGAGGAATTTTTATGGGAAGTCAAGCCAGTGGGTGGTTAGCCCGTTCTCGTTGGCGTTGGTAACTGCCTGTAGAAATAATGGTTGCTTACAGGTACGGATACAAGTTTCAGAAGTTCCCTTAGGAGCGGTCAGCGCCTCCTTGCTCTCAGATTGGTCAGGGTTGAGGACTTTGGCTTATGTCACTTCTGGAAGTGGCCTTCATAAACTTCTGCTTAATTCTGCTTTCTTGAAGATACTGCCTTGTGATTTTGTATAATAACTCTTCATGTGTTTGACATTGGGCCCATCTTTAAAGTGTCAGACCTTTCAGGCAACTCTCTGCGTCGTTGGTGCTATGTCTTCTTACATTTTTAAATGTATAAGTGCTCAGAAAATTGTCTTTCTTTAAAAACAAACAAACCCAGGTGACTTCTATGTTATGTGCTTTCTAAGAAACAAAGTTATTTGTTTTAATCAATGGAGCAATAAAACCTTTGCTGTAGTTGCAACGTATCTGCATCCCGAGAACCAGACTTTTCTGTCTTCCGCAGGAGTGTAAGGGTTAATGTTTACTCCTTAATGAATCCTGCTTAAGATGAATAAGCCAAAAGAGAAGGTAGTGCTTCCTTTATTTTTCTTTCCATACCCCTACAGAACTAACACAGCTGTAGGGTTTTAATTTCAGTAGGAGCTACAGCCCTGAAGGAAAATTGCTCCATTTCAAACAGGGCCTTGTTTAGAGTAAAAAGATGCTTTAACTGCTTTTAGCTGTAAACAGCAGTGGAGTCGTGTTCCCGCGCGGCAAGCTGCGAGATCTGTGTGATGACTTACGCTTCTGTGTCTAGGGCTGTTCCCGCCTCCCCTGGCACCGCCACCAGCTCTCCTCATTCCCACCTTGGACGGGTAAGACCACGCCTGGGCTGTGAGCCATGGGTGCAGCTCTCCGCAGCCGGGAGGGGTGGAGGACAGGTCTGAAATGGGTGCTGGTCATTCCTAGTCCGGTCTTGGATTGGGGCGGGGGGTGAGAGCAGAGTCTGCAGGGAATCCTCTGGGCATTGACCTCTGTCTGTCGTGTTCACGGCACAGGAAGAAGTCAGTAAAATCGAGGCGTGTGCTTAGGCCTAGCGCAGTGGTTGATAGCATGTTGTGTTTCTCCAGATGGTTTCTGTAAAGGTTCTCCAGGCACTTTGTGAGCCTGGTGATTTCCCGGGAAGCCTGCCTGCTGTACAGAAGGCAGGGGTAAAGCGGGGCGGGCAATTGAGCCCCAGCAGCTGCAGAAGCTGTGGCAAAGCAACCGCACCCATACGCGTTTCTGATAGTTTGCGGTGCAACGTGAAAGAGTCACTGAAACCGTGGGTTTCCCATGAGGGTGTTCCCCAGACCTTCAGGAAAAATCGGGTGAACTGGCAGCACAGAGGGACCTGCGAGGGGTCGCTGATGTTAGTAACGCATCCTTTTCTCTCTCCAAAGCCAGCCAGCCAGCTACAATAACAGGCAGCCTCCTCCGTTTGGCTACAACTCTGCAGGTGAGCACTGAAGACAACAGTCAAACTGCTTCTCTCTCTCCTCTGCTCTTTGGTAGTTTAGGCTTTTCTTAAGCTGGTGGACATCACGCTTGCTTTAACTTTAGGGTCTTGCTTGTGCCCCAGACTATCCCCGCGCTAGAAACACAGGCTGAGCTTGACTACACCATTACGTGTTCAGAAAGCTGAGTGTTCTGCAGCAGCGACGAATGCGATTCTGTAGTTGAGTGCTAAGCCTCAGATCGCTGCTTTCAGTGCAGGTACCCAGCAACAGAGAAGCTTCCCCATGTGCCTCAGCAACGTGTTTCTGTGCTTGTTCGCACGAGTACTTGCTCACGCTCGCTCACGTGCTCTCCCTTCTCCCCCACCCTCAGGGACAAGCACAAGCATCTGCTTCCCATCTCCTCCCTGTGCTTTTGAACGCCCTCCTGCCCCACGTTATCGCCTTCCCTGCCCACAGGCACATGCCGGCATCGGCCTCCTTTTGTTTTCTAACGGAAGAGGCAGCGCCAGAATTTCAGCAGATTTCCTTCCCTGGTGCGGCCCCGCCAGCAATGCGGGCCAGGAGCCTGGGACTAACTAAACTCAGCTGGCACAGCAGCGGGAGAGGGCTGCCTCAGCATCGCGGGCACCGTTGCCCTCTAAGCCAGGATGTCTGGGAGGGATGGATTGAAACTTCTCCCAGCAGAGACCTTATAGCATGCCCTATATAGCAGAACCTATAGAGAGCAAGAGCTGGGGGAGGGCACAGCCCCTGCAGCCATGTGCTGGGCAAGGGGCTGGGGAGATTTTGCAGCAACGTCTGTCCATACGTGGTCTTGCTTGCGTCTTCCTCAGGGAAAAGGTGTCCGCGTGCTCCTAGCAAACTGCTGAAAGTAAAAAGGGAGAGTGAGGACAGGAGGGAGCCGGGCCGTTGTTGTCTCCTTGGATTCAGCTGTACCTCCAGAGGGTATCTTTGGGACAGGAGGGATGGGGAGGATGCTGTTAATGCTTCGGATGAACGAGGATTCTGCTCTCTCACTGCAGATTCAGGTTTCATCAGCTACCCACCCATCTCCACATCCCACACGCCCTGGGTGACGACGGTGGACAAAGGCACGAGCAGTTCCAGCAGCAGCCATTGGGAATACTCGGGCTCGAGGCGCGAGAGGGAACGGGAGCGCGAGCGGGAAAGGGAAAGGGAGAGAGACCGAGACCGCACTCCGACCACCAGTGAATACAACAAGTGAGTGCTGTTTGTCGGCAGCTTCTCTTCGCAGCTGCCCAGTCGGGAGCTCTGGCCTTGGCCGGGAGCACAGGGCGGTGTTTGGTCAAGGGATGGGATTATAGATCGTACCAGTTTAATGTGCTAAATGTCTGGGGAAGAGATGCTTTGGATCAATCACTAGAGGACAAACTAGGAGCCAGTGTCACTGGCTGATTTCCTGTGTCTGGTTAGGGTTTTTTTGTTGTTTAAATCCAGCAGAACCGGTTTCGCTTGCTCTCCCACCTGTAATGTGAGGCCAGTAAGTGAAATAGCCCCTCTCTGTTCGCCAGGTGTTTCACAGCTCAGTGTGAAATGTCGGCTGTGGAAGCTGCTGCTTCTTGTCTTCTAAATGCAACTGTCAGATCAAAGGGAAAAGCACCCGTGCTTCGCTCAGCTCTCCTCTAGAGGCTCTCAGGGCAAGGAGTGCCGTTCACCAGGAGTCAGCCATGAAATGTAAATCCTTAACCAGGCGTTCCTGCCAGCAGTGCTGGAGACAGCCACCTTGGTGGGAACTGGTGTGATCGCAGGCGACAGCAGTGCTGGGAGCGCTTGGGAAAGGAGGCTTTCAGCCTCCCAGCGTTGATCTAGAGAGCTCAAGTGAAGGCTAGGCTGTAGAGACTCTCTTTAAACCCGTCGCTTTTTTGTTCCGTCCCAGGCAGCGTCAGTGTTTTGCAGGCTTCAGGCTCAGCACTACCAATAGTCATTCAAAACATGATCAGAATGCGCGTTCCTGGCAGAGGGGTGCTGCCTGCCGGGAGCTCCCCGGCGCAGGGGGTGAGCAAAGAGGGCAACCTAACCCCTTTTTTTTTTTTTGATCCCAGTGGGCACTGTGGGCGGAAGGGGGAGGAACAGAACAGAAGAAAAACTTGCTGCAGTTGCTCAGACTCCCACGCTTCCCGAGCAGGTTCCTGCTGCAGCCGAGTCCTGTGATCGGCACTCCTGAGCACGTTTCTGGCTGCTTTCAAGCATGCTGACCCCTCAGATCGTCCTTGCCAAAGCAGGGCAAGCCGCCGTGCTCAGTGGAGCCCTTCGCAGCCCTCACGGATGATTGATATTGGACACGGATTGGTCTGGCTTGTTTCCACGAGAGTTAGGACGATGTTTCAGACTTCCTTTCTCTCAGAGTCTGAATATTGTTCCCCACAGTGGGACTTGTTGAACCTTCAGGTTTTGGCTTTCAGAAGTTGAACAGGGACTGTGAGATGCGGAGGGAAGGGGAGTGTGGGACGTACCCGATTTTGGGGTACGTGATGCCCGCTCCTGTGCGTGCACTGAATGAGGTGCCTTGAGCAGACCGTTAGGTGTAGGCAGAAAGACCAGGTCAGCTGCACTCACAAGTTGAGTTTTTCAACTCATGGGGAAGAAAAGAGTCCTTTCGTCTAACTCGCGCTCTCACTCACTCCAGGTTATCTGGGACGGTGGTGGTGTGAGGTAGGATCCAGCACCAGGGGAGGCAGAATGGGAAGAGGAGCATGTTTCTGTTGTCTTTCAACAAGGTAGCTCAATGTCTTGGACGTATTCCGGAAGGATTGTGAGGGCAAAAGCCCCGAGACGTTGGCCACGTGCCTGCTGCTAAGGTGGTCCCTTGGCAAATCCAGAGAACACATTTTGTAAGCCCTTTGCCTTGAGAGGCCAGGAGAAAGCCACGATATTCAACCATTTGGGCGGCAAATGGAGAAGGTTATTTCACGGTGGTTAGAAACTGGGATTGGGTTGCAGCGTGGGTGCAATAAGCAGCAGCAGCTTATTGTTATGGGTTTTTTCAGGAGCATCATGAATACCTCAGCCTGTTGCTAGACTAAGAGGTGACAGATTTCGTGGGTGAGGATGGGGTTCTGCAGTCCTGTAAACATGGCTCCTGACTTTCAGGTCCACGAGTGGTGTGTTCCTCTGCCTCACTTCTCCTTTCTCTTCTTAAGTGATGATGAACGATACCGCTACTACAGCCGAGAGCGCAGCTACGACTTTGAGCGTGACTACCGCCGGAGTCGAGATCGCAGCAGGGAGCGAGAGGATCGTCACCGGGAGCGCCGGCACAGAGACAAAGAGGAGAGCAGCAAGCATAAGTCTTCAAGACGGTAAGAGCTGTCTAGGGCTGAACTGGGCTTGACTGGGGCTGAACGGGAACACCCCTCAGCTGCAGACAAGAAGGGTGATGTTCTCAGGGCGAACTGTCGCCCTGGGTCACGCTGGCTTGCTGTGAGCTGCTGATGTCCTGAGATGTGACGCCCAGGCAGAGAGAGCGCCCTCGGGCACATGCCCGGGCAGGAGGCAGAGCTGTCTGTAGCAGGGAGAGGAGTCCTCGGTGTTTGTAAGGTCTCAGTAAGGCGGCTGGCAGGCTGCCGACTCACAAAATGGCAGCACTGATTGACAAAGGAGAGGTTAACCTGTGCTAAACACCACATCGGAACAGCGTAGCTCCTGCTGTTAAGAAAGTACGCACAAAGTAAAATGCAGAACGATAGCAGAAGCATCAGCTTTCAGTATTAGGTGTCCTTGTGCGAAGAGAAGAGCTTGCTTCAGCCTGGGATCTGAAATTTCCTCTTGGAGCAGGAGGCTGAGCACTGCTTGATCCGAGCTCTGTGCCCAGGGCTTCTGGTAGTGACGATGATCTGGACAAAGGTGAAACACTTTTGGAGCAGAGCTGGCTGTCCTAAAATCCCAGCTTTTCTGGAGAAAATGTATTTGCTACAGAGGATCTTCCTGTGAGAGCATCTTCTAGCGAAGTAACAGGTCCAGTCTGAGGCAAAGCGCGGTTGCTGTGCCCGTTTGCATCCTGGTCATGGCTCGAGCAGACTTGCTCGGTTTTTTTGGTGCTTCAGCTTACTTCCTTCTTTTAGATGAAATTCACGTCAGCTCTGTAGGTAACTACCCTTATTTTGGAACTGGTATCAGAAAAACTCCTCTGTAGTGACTGGAGGCAAAAGGCTGTTCTTGTTCTTAAGGAGATGAATACGTTTTCAAGAAAGGACTGATTGCTGAAGGGTTGGAAGCAAAGCGACGGGAAGAGGCCAGGACCACAATCACAGCTGAATACAAAACAAATGGAAGCTGAACTGGTACCAGGCTAACAAGCCGATGGCTTTAAGGGTCATTTCTCAGCTTCCTCTACTCAGAATTGCAGTCGTGTTAGGTACCTGGCTGCAAGAGCAGGATGGGACTCACCGAAGCAGTGTCAGGCTCTGCTTGAGAGCTCCGTTTACAGAACTGGGCTGCTGCAGGAGGTGGGGATGAGGTGGCTTTCCCCCTGCTCCTTAAACCACACGCAGATGCTCTCGGTCTTGCTCCGAGTGGTAGGATGGGAAGTGTTCGTTAGCTAAAGCACATGGAGAAAGACTTTTCGTTCAAGGCCACTTCGAGTGCGTACCAGAGTCCCTGCTTGAGGCACTTTGAGATTTGAGCCTGTTTAAAGCATTTGCAGGAAGGTGAACGGGTTTCCTTGTAGTTTCCAGTTTACTGCAAATTGACCAGTCTGAAGGAAAGCACCGACTCTTGTTTAAATACTACAGGACAGTCACATTGTTCAGGCATAAGCCACTGCCGTGTTGGTGGCCACAAGGTGGCTGAAGATGTGTGAGGAGAAGCAGCCTTTTCTTTCTTTCTTTTTTTTTCCCCCCCATTTTAATGACTATGAAACCATTTATTAAACAAGTCAGAAGACGACTCGAAGCCAGGCGCTTTTCAGCCAGTGGTTCAGCCAGTTAGGTGTCTCTGCTGCTAAACTGGTATCCCAGCTGCGGTAAGAATTTGTCTCTACACCTGACTCTGTCCCCACTCGTGGAGCTGGGCGTCTGTCCTGTGTGACCGTACGTCTTCCTGTGACAAATTTTAATCTGCTTTTTCCTGTGCTCTGGTCTAATTCTGCCACCTTCACACCACGGTCAGCTCCAGAGACCTCACTTGGTTTTCAGCCTGGGAGGAGAAACAATTGGATGTTTGAGAAGCAGCAGAAAATCGCCTCCCAGGAGGGGCCAAGAGCCGGAGCGGGCAAACCCAGAGCTCCCGCCTTTCCACGTTCCCCGACGGGAGCGAGGCTGATCTCGGGGCGTCCGCGGGTTGTGTCAGGCGCGCTGTGCGTGCGCGGTGCGGCTGGCTGGGGTCGGCGGTGCTCAGAGCCGTGCTCAGCCCGGTCAGGGCCACTCTGGCTGGGATTTCTCCCACTTCACAGAAATCCTGTACAGACATCCACAGCTAGCCGTAGGATCACAAGGTTGGAAAGGACCTCCGAGATCATCGAGTCCAACCGTTAACCCAGCCTCTAGCCCTGTCCCTAAGCACCACATGCACACGTTTTTTGAACGCTTCCAGGGACTGTGATTGCACCGCTGCCCTGGGCAGCCTGTGCCAGGGCCTGACCACTCTCTCCATGAAGAAATTTTTCCCAATACCCAACCCAAACCTGCCCTGGCGCAGCTTGAGGCCGTTCCCTCTCGTCCCATCGCTTGTTCCTGGGGAGAAGAGACCGACCCCCCCCGGCTCCAGCCTCCTTTCAGGCAGTTGCAGAGAGCGATGAGGGCTCCCCTCAGCCTCCTCTTCTCCAGGCTGAGCCCCCCCAGCTCCCCCAGCCGCTCCTCCCCAGCCTTGGGCTCCAGCCCCTGCCCCAGCCTCGCTGCCCTGCTCTGGCCACGCTCCAGCCCCTCCGTGGCCTCCTTGGGGTGAGGGGCCCAGCGCTGAGCACAGCTGCATCTGGAAAACAGTTCCGGGGGAGGAGATAGAGGAGTTTGAAAGCACAAAGCCAGTGACGTGCCAGGTCGTTTATGAGTAAGCAGAAGTAGAAACAGGATCTGCCTCCCATTAGGAAACCCAGGTTTCTCTGGCTACATCGATCCCTTTCTTGCCTCTAGTCCAGGGATTTCCCCAAGATGTTCAGAGGAGTGAAAGTTTTCAACACCTCTCAGATTTCGGACTCTTCCTTCTCTCAGCAGCCTCAGTGCTTCACATTGAAGCCTGAGATCTGTCAGAATTGGTAGAGCTCCCTTAGGAGCGGGAAGGACACAGAGACGTTGCTAATAAAAACCATCCAGAAATCATTCTGACAGCAGCCCGCTGCCTGCCCGGACCGCGTGCTGGGGTAAAGCAGGCACCTCCGGCGGTTTGCATAACCCGCCCTTGCTTCGGCCACGTGCGCTATCAGATCGTCCCCAATAAACACGACGCAGCCTTGCAGCGGCACCGCGATGCCCTCAGCGCTTCTCATCCGTCTTTATTCCAGATCAAAGCGCTCCGGCCCCGCGCGTGACGTAGGGTGGGCGCCTTTGGTTCCCTGCGGCAGAGCCGCGCCGATGCAGGCTCCGATGTCACTTTCTTCTCCCCTTTCCTCCCCACCGCAGCAAACAACACGAGAGCGAGGAGGGGGAGAGTCACCGGCGCCACAAGCACAAAAAGAACAAGCGTAGCAAGGAGGAGAAGGAGGCCAGCGAAGACGGCGCCCAGGAGGGAGAGGAGCAGGATGCCAAGGAGTAACGCAGGCCCCCCGCCAGCCCTCAGGAGGAGCGTGCGCCTTTGGAACCAGCGTGGCATGGGTGATGTTTTGTTTTGGGGGGTTGATTTTTTTTTTTTTTTTAATTACTTTTTTTTCCCCAAGGGAAGAGAGGCTGACTCTGGGTGAGCAGTGCAGCGTGTGGCAGTGGTTGGAGAGCTGAGGCTGCACGTGCAGTTAAACTTTTTTTTTGTTGTTTTTTTTTGATACGAGACAAAATACAGCAGTACGAGCATACAAAGCACTGAGCTACTCTACTCATAAACATCCCTAGGGAGAACTTTGTTGGATCAGATCCTATGGTTTCTGATGGAAGATGGCTTCAGCTGAAACTAACGCATTTCGGTAATAGTTTTTGGGTTTTATTTTTTTTTTTGTCATCATCATTCCTTTTTGAAAAATAGGACAGTAAGTGCGACTTGAAATTTATTGTCCAAAGAAAAGTGTGATTTAGATCCTGAGAGCCAGCTTAGAGTCTGGCTTCTAGTAGTGACAAGTCTCATCCCCAAATAAATTTCTTTATAGCTACAAAAACGTCTTCTGATTTCTCTGTGGCGAGGAGGAGCTGCTCTCACTGGTGGGCCACAGGATCCTGCTTCGGTCTGACGCTTTGAGAAGCCGTCACGTCTGTTTGCACAGGGTCTGCAACGACTTCAAACCTGGGTGTTTTTTAATCTGTTCCAAAAATAGTTCTATCATATATTACACCTGTGGGAGACCAACGGAAGACTCGTAGTAAGAGCATGAGTTTCTCTTTAATTAGTTTTGACTAACTTTTTTTTTTTTTTTTTTAAACGGAGTTGAGCCGAATAATCTAGCACAGCAGAGAACACGACGTCCCGTCCAGCAGTGTGCCCTCATGGGGCTGGCTTATTTCTATTTGGTTATCACGGACGCTCCTGCGCAGCGCATTCCTTCCCCTAGAGCTCAAAATAAATTCCAATTCCAAAGTTTGTTTGGACTTAGTATTGGTTGGGGAGGGTGGCGACAGAGATGTTCCTGGGCGGGAAGAAGAGAGGAAATCATTCTGAGGGCGTTCGGTATGTCTGGCACTTAGGATACTGCACTTCTGTTTGTGTGAGTCCACGAGTGTCTCATTTTTAAGTATCTTTCACTACTTTGACTTGTTATTTAAAACTGTCTTCAATCTTTGCCCTGAAATAATATGGTTCTGAAATGTGACCTATGGTTTTTTGTATTGTAATCTTGCAAGTCTGAGTGTCCTGTGAAGCTCACAGCCCGGAGACCTGAGCCAGCGCAGCACTACGAGAACAGTTTATGTGCTGCGACAGTGCATTGGATGAGTCGTTAACTGCAAAAGCTGTGGGGAGAAGGAAAGA